TTTTTTGAGACAGAGTTTCGCTCTTGTTACCCAGGCTGGAGTGCAGTGTCACGATCTCGGCTCACCACAACCTCTGCCTCCTGGGTTCAAGCAATTCTCCTGCGTCAGCCTCCCGAGTAGCTGGGACTACAGGCGCACGCCACCATGCCCAGCTAATTTTTGTATTTTTAGTAGAGACGGGGTTTCACCATGTTGACCAGGATGGTCTCGATCACTTGACCTCGTGATCCACCTGCCTGGGCCTCCCAAAGTGCTGGGATTATAGGCGTGAGCCACCGCACCCAGCCCAGGGGCATTATCTTAATGGTTACCTTGGAGATGGGTTGAGTCCAGGCTCAGCGATTAAGTTGTTTCATAACCTTGAGCAAGTCAAGCCCCTCTCTGGTCCCCAGTCTCCGTGTTAAGTACAAGGATGAACTAAGACCAGTTATTTCTCATCTTTCTCTCTGACCTGTAGCATTGTGACTGCTTTCCTAGGGGCTTTGGAGTTAGAATAGACCTTTTTTATTTATTGTTTTTGAGACGGAGTCTTGCTCTGTTACCCAAGCTGGAGTGCAGTGGCATGATCTCAGCTCACTCCACTCCACCTCCTGGGTTCAAGCAATTCTCCTGCCTCAGCATCCCAAGTAGCTGGGACAACAAGCATGCACCACCACTCCCAGCTAATTTTTGTATTTTTAGTAGAGATGAGGTTTCACCATGTTGGTCAAGGTGGTATCTAACTCCTGACTTCAAATGATCCACCCGTCTTGGCTTTCCAGAGTGCTGAGATTACAGACATGAGCCACCGCACCCAGCCTGGAGTTAGACTAGACTTTAATCTTGAGTTTACCAGTTTTTAGCTGAATGACCTTGAGCAAATGAGTTAGCTCCCTTGATCCTTAGTATCCTTCTATTGGGACAGCATCACCTGTTTTACAGGTTGTTGTCTGAATTAAATGAGCAGCTGTGCAGAGAGCCCCTGGAACAATGCCTGGGTCTTAGTGTGTACTGTGTGGTTGCCATTGTTACTGGATAACTAAATGAATGGCAAGCCACTTGCCCAGTGGACAGCAGGGAGTGTAGACCACACTTCTACTGTGGATTTTTCAGGATCCTCCTCTGGGGACTGTGGGTATCCTTCCCCTAACTCTGAAGGACTCTGCCTGGCTCCACCAGCAGCCAGGTCTTTCCCAACTGTGGGTTTTTCCTTCCCACTCCAGGCACGAAGGCAGTTCCAGTCCCAGCTGGCTGACCTGCAGCAGCTCCCTGACATCCTGAAGATCACGGAGGCGAAGCTGGCTGAGTGCCAAGACCAACTGCAGGGCTATGAGCGGAAGAACATCGATCTCACAGCCATCATATCAGACCTGCGCAGCCGGGTAAGGGACTGGCAGAAAGGGTCCCATGAACTGACCCGAGCAGGGGCCCGCATACCAAGATGAGCTGCACGCCCCTCATGGGAGGACTACTTCCTTTTTCTTGGCTGCCGCTTTTTAAAAGGAGTGAGCTATCATCAGTGCTGTGAAATAAAAGTCTGGTGTGCCAAATGCCATGTGTTTGCACAAAGTGATTGTAGTTATAGGAGCCGTCACTTGCGTGGAGTCACTGGGCCCTCATGCCGTTTCCCTCACCCAAGACCACTGCTTCTGCCTGCCTCTGCCTGTATGCTCCGCTGCTATCCTCAGCTTCACACCCACAGCTGGGAGGTGCCAGCAGACACCGAGCCATAGAATTTCTTTTCTGTCTTTCTCTTGCTTTAGCTGCTTTTCCTGACTCTTAACAGATACATTACCTGAGATTCTTTACTGAAAGAAGGAAGCAGTCCCTTTTTCCCAGAAACAGTCTGTCTCTGGGTTACTGGAACCATGCCTACTGCCTATAATGTCCAAGAAATTACATACCAGTCATTTGCAGTGTGACCTTGGACAAGGCTCCTTCCCCACTCTTGCACTGTGTACTTGTGATAATTATAAAAGGAGCTACCATTTTTTGAGCACCTCTTCTGGGCTCCTGCATTCTCTCATTTAATTCCATCAGGGACTTTGTGAGGTACATGTATTATTTACTCCATTTTATGGAAAGCAATCCAGGGCATAGAATGGAGAAGTAATTCCCTACCACAGAGCTAGTACTTAGTAAGCAGGAACAGTAAGCGGTACTTAGTAACCAGCTCTATCTGGTTCCTAAGCCCATGTTCTCAGTACTCTTAGACTGCCTGCCTTCTGCTTTGAACCTGAGCATCCTCAGGGCCTTTGAGCCCTGATAGCTGAGGCTTCTGCGTAAAGGAGTCCTCTGGGTAAATTCTCAAACTTGCTGACTCAAAAGAATTGACATTTCCTGTTGTCTTGCCTGCACTTGTTCCCCAGTTAAGAGGAGGGTGAGATCAATAGTACTAGCAACATAACAGGAAAGCTCTGTGGCTGGTTTGTATGGGCCAGTTAGCCCTGCCATCTGTTTCTGCCTTCTCATGTCTGTCCTGGATCCCAGCTGGGCCTGAGTGACCTCCCCTGATGAAGAAAGCATCTTTGTCATACTTCAGCATCAAACCTGGTTTTTTCCAATGTGGGAGAGCCTTTTGTCTTTGGAGTTGGGCCTAACCTGTCCCTGCTGTCCTCTCTCCTCTAGGTTGTGCACTGAGACTTGGACGTCTGCTGAGGGCACTGTGCCCCTTTCCTGGGTGTGGACAACAGGTCATAGGGAAAGGGGAGGGCTCTAGCAGGAAATTCCTTTGTAAACCAGTCTGTGTTCCTGTCATTTTAGATCGAACATCAGGGGGACAAGCTGGAGATGGCGAGAGAGAAACATCAGGCTTCCCAGAAGGAAAATAAACAGCTGAGTCTGAAGGTGGATGAACTGGAGAGGTTAGAGGCACTTGGTCCCATCTCTGTCCTCTTCCTAGGACCTGAGACTTTCAGCCACTTAGCTGCATTTTGCTTAGTGTGCGGAAGTGTTTGAGGGACTCAAGGCCCTGGAAGGTACTAGGCAGAGCTCAGAGGAAAAGCTGCTTCCATTTCAGTGGTAAGCATTGTGGGAGAAAGCAAGGGGGCCTCTCAGCCTGGGGAGACATTCCATGACAGCATCATCTGGATCAGCCCACTTGTAGGCACCACCTGTCCAAAAAGGCATGCCTGGTCCAAGCATGCCAGCAGGGCCCAGTTTGAATGGAGCAGCCAGTATACTGTGGTGGAGGCCCTTCCCCCCTCTTTTCTGCCCTTTTTTTGCCAGTCACACTTCCTAAGACCTTTCTGATCTGACCCTCCTCTGTTATGTACAGATTGTTGGAGGCAGAGGTGAAGGGTACAGCTTTCGAAATCAGAAGATCTGGCCTTGGGCCCAGCTCTGCCACTTAACCTCCATTGTGATCTTGAGCAAATCATTTAATTCCTTTGAAGCTCAGTTTCTTCCTTTTGAGGAAAGGATCAAGGTAGAGTTAATTATCTGTCGATCAATCGTCTTGCCCTGTCACCCAGGCTGGAGAGCAGTGGTGTGATCTCAGCTCACTGCAAGCTTGACCTTCTGGGCTCAAGCGATTCTGCTGCAGCCTCCCAGGTATCTGGGACCACGGGCACATGCCACCATGCCTGGCTAATGTTTGTATTTTTTGTAGAAATGGGGTTTCACCGTGTTGCCCAGGCTGGTTTTGAACTCCTGGGATCAAGTGATCCACCCACCTAGGCCTCCTAGAGTGCTGGGATTATAGGCAGGAGCCACCACACTTGGCTGATAATCTTTTTATGGTGGTGGCGTGAGTCTTCAATGATATAATTCTGGTAAAGGTCCTAGCACATTACCTGGCATAGAGAAGCGCTCAGTATAGTTTAGCATATGTTAATAGCTGGTATTGTCCCAGTTTTAAATATGAGGAAACTGAGCTTGGGGAAGAGTTAAGTGACTTTCTCAGCATCACACTGTTGGTACCAGGCAAAGGGTGACTTCGACTCGTGACTGTCTTCCTTGAGAGCTTGTATGAGCAGATGTAAGAGGTGGGCAAGAATCCTCCAGCCCTGGTCCCAGCCTTTGTTTCAGAGGTGAAGATGCCTGAGGTTTAGGAGGCCCTAAGTGCCCCAGATGGCCAGTGCACTTGCAGGGATACACCAAGTGGGCCTGGAGACTCCACCTCTGCTCTGCCCTGCTGGTCTCAGAAATGCAGCTAGACCCTGCAGGCCCTGCAGAGCTCCTTAAATTGGAAGGCATCCTGGAAGTGCATTGAGGACAGTGTGTGTATATCAGGATGACCACAGCTGCCCTATGGCTGGTCATGCAAGATGTTGAGTGGTGTAGCTGAAGTCCCTTTGCTGCAGGAGGCAGCAGTGAACAACAGAAGCTAAGGGCTTGGGTTTTGGTAACAGACTTGCCAGCTGTGCTGACTTCAGGCCAATGAATTCCCCTCTGAGGCTCAGTTTCTTCATCTCTAACGTGGGGATAATGGTACCATTTTTCTGAGCTGCAAATTGCTGTGTTCCATGTGATGCTATCCACACTTAACACAGCCCACGGTCTGTCTCTGCTTGCGTTCCCCCGCTTCACTTTCTTCTCTAACCAGTCCCTCCAGCTGCACAGTTCTCTGGCTGCCTTGCTGATCTGCAGATTTCTTTGGCTTATTCCTGTGGCTCCTTGGAGATTCTTGGCATGATGAGATCCCCAGTTCAGGAGAGGCTGGCAGCCCCCTGACGGGGTGGAACATAGGCTGGAGTATGTCCAGGATCTGATTGAGTGCTTTCACCTAGGAAACTGGAGGCGACCAGTGCCCAGAATATCGAGTTCCTACAGGTGATTGCCAAGAGGGAGGAGGCAATCCACCAGTCCCAGCTGCGGCTGGAGGAGAAAACACGGGAATGTGGGACCCTGGCAAGGCAGTTGGAGAGTGCCATTGAAGATGCGAGGAGGCAGGTCAGTCTCGATTTCATTAATGACTAGCTTTGTGACCTTGGGCAAATCACTGAACCTCTCAGCTTATTTCTCCATCTGAAAAATGGGTACATAGTAGTAGCCGCTTCATGAATTACTTGTAAGGATCACATTTTCATTGTAGAAGGCTCAGCACTTGATACTGATGATTGCTCATTTACTCACTACCCTCTGGAGCCACACACAGGCTTACCACATCTTAGGTGGTAACTCCTGGAGCACTGAGAAAAGGGCAGGCAAAGCTGGGTTGCAGGCGTAGTCCCCGTAGTTAGTTCCTGCTCCGAAGTTCTAGAGAACATAGTCCACACTGACATGCAAGTGCTGTCTGTGAGACCAGATAGTGGGAGGGACCCAGGCTTCTCTTCGCCAAATGTTCCCCATGTCTGGTAAACCAGCCTCACCTCGGGGCCTTTGAATGTTCAGGTGGAACAAACCAAGGAGCACGCACTCTCCAAGGAGCGAGCAGCCCAGAACAAAATCCTGGACCTTGAGACCCAGCTGAGCAGAACCAAAACTGAACTGAGCCAGCTGCGGCGGAGCCGTGATGATGTAAGTCAGGCTGGTGGGCTGGGCTAGGACAGTGGGCAGCAGTCCTAACTTCTGTGGGGCCTATGGGACAAGGTGTTTTGTTGTTACTGTTTTTGTGACTATGACATGGTTTTATTTTTCTCCAGTCATTTTCCTATTCCTTAAGGATATCCTGGATAGATATTTACTTATTTAGAGATAGAGTCTCCCTTTATCACCCAGGCTGGAGTACAGTGGTGCGATCTCGACTCACTGCAACCTCTGCCTCCTAGATTCAAATGATCTCCACACCTCCCCTCTCCCCCTCTCAGCCTCCCAAGTAGCTGAGATTTCAAGCATGTGTCACTATGCCCGTCTACTTTTTTGTGTGTATTTTTAGTAGAGATGGGGTTTCACCATGTTGGCAAGGCTGGTCTTGAACTCCTGATCTCAAATGATCTGCCCACCTTGGCCTCCCAAAGTGCTGGGATTGCTTGAGCCACTGCACCCAGACTTTTTTTTTTTTTTTTAAGTTTCACTGTGTCACACAGGCTAGAGTGCAGTGGTGCTATCATAGCTTACTTCAGCTTCAAACTCCTGGGCTCAAGCAAGCCTCTAGCCCCAGCCTGCTGAGTAGCTAGGACTACGGGTGCACACCACGACACCCAGCTAATTTTTATTTTTTGTAGAGACAGAGTCTCACTATGTTGTCTATGCTGGTCTTGAACTCTTAGGCTCAAGTGATCATTCCATCCTGGCCTCCCAAAGTGCTGGGATTACAGGCATGAGCCACTGTGCCTGGCCTTAGAATATTTTCAGAAAGAAACTCCATACCCATTAGATATCACTCTGCACTCACCTCCCACAACCCCGTGGCAACTCCTAAGAAAGTCCCTATGTCTCTATGGATTTCTATCCTATTGTGGACATTTCACAGCAGGCCCTGTTTCTCCTTGTAGGCGGACCGCCGCTACCAGAGCCGGCTGCAAGACCTGAAAGATCGCCTGGAGCAGTCCGAGAGCACTAACCGCAGCATGCAGAACTACGTCCAGTTCCTCAAATCATCATATGCTAACGTGTTTGGGGATGGTCCCTACACCACCTACCTGACCAGCTCTCCCATCCGCTCCCGATCTCCTCCTGTCTGAGACCACCTATCCAGGGCCTGGAGCCCTGACAGAAGCTGTGGGAACTCAGGAGTTGCCAAACCATAGCTGGGAAGCCTGGTGGTTTTCCTCTCCCAGTGATAAAATGTGTTCAGGGTCTTGTCCTTAGCTACTAGCTCTAGAAAAGTCCCAAAAGCAGCAGAAGGTGAAGCAGGAAGCACTTGGTTTTCTCCTCCCTGATACAGTCAACCTCATGGAAGTTTTAAAATTTCCTCGACAGGCCTTAAATTTACTACTACATTAGGGTACCAGATTTTAACTTTCCATGACTTTGCTCCTTCCTTTCCCGAGAAAATATTTCCACTGGATTTTTTCCACCACTCCCCTTATAGCCCTCATTGTTTTAGGAATCTCTCAGGTTTTCTCTGACCTATACCAGCAGGAGCTGCTCCTGGGCTGTGAGCACCATCACTTGCTGTTTTTTTCTGATTTCACAAGTGTGGTGTTTTCCCAAGGCTCCCTTCCCGAGCTCAGTGCAAACCTGTCACTCCCGAGTTTCTTTGAGGCCACTTGCTCCCAAGCACTTCACAATAGACCCTTGAGGGCTTGTGTCCATTTGGCCTTTTATAAGTGTAATGCCAATCTCATTGATTTTTCTTTCTCTTTGTCTGGTTTGTATCTCCGGAATGCATTTATTCTTGAAATATTTGTGTGATTTTACAAAAAGGTTTTATAATCAGTTATTTAAGGCTCCATTTGATTATTTCCTTTACCCAACTGCTCCTCATCCCTCCTCTAAAAAATGATAAAGTAAAATGCTGCAGGAGAGCCAGTAGACATTTTTTAAATACTTGGTGCCTGAAACATCAGGCTTTTCATTTCATTTTAGCTCAGGTTGATGCTTTCACATTAAAATCAGTGAACTGTGAAGAGGAAACAAACTGTAAGAAGGTATTACTCAGTGTTTTAGGGTAGACCACTGTAGCTGTTAAGAGGACGGGATGGTGTACAGTATAAATTTTATTTTTAAAGTGTGAATTTATACTGTACACCATCCCGTCCTCTTAACAGCTACAGTGGTCTACCCTAAAACACTGAGTAATACCTTCTTACAGTTTGTTTCCTCTTCACAGTTCACTGATTTTAATGTGAAAGCATCAACCTGAGCTAAAATGAAATGAAAAGCCTGATGTTTCAGGCACCAAGAATCTGAGCCATTTTTGTTCACTTCTAACAAATTCGTACTGTGCTGACCTCTGCCCTTCCAATTCTGGCTAGCATTGGCCTGGGTGGTCCAGTCCTGTTATCTCTCAGCCACTGTAACTCAACTCTAGAGAATTTCTTCTCTGGTTTTTTTTTTTTTTTGAGACAGAGCCTTGCTCTGTCGCCAGGCTGGAGTGCAGTGGCGCGATCTCAGCTCACCACAATCTCCGTCTCCTGGGTTCAAGCAATTCCCCTGCCTCAGCCTCCCGAGTAGCTAGGACTACAGGTGCACAGCACCACACCTGGCTAATTTTTTTGTATTTTAGTAGAGACAGGGTTTTACCATGTTGGCCAGGATGATCTTGATCTCCTGACCTTGTGATCCTCCCGCCTTGGCCTCCCATAGTGCTAGGATTATATTCGTAAGCCACTGCACCCGGCCATGTTCATTTTTCTTCTTGAGACAGTGTCTCTGTCACCCATGCTGAGTGCAGTGGCAGGAACATGGCTCACTGCAGCCTTGACTTCCTGGCTCAAGCAATCCTCCCACCTCAGCCTCCACAGTAGCTAGGAGCACCAGTATATGCCACCATGCCCAACTAATTATTTTTTTGTAGAGACAGTTATCACCACATTGCCCAGGTTGGTCTTGAATTCCTGGGCTCAAGTGACTCTCTCACTTTGGCCTCCCAAAGTGCTGGGATTACAGGTGTGAGTCACTGCACCCAGCCTTCTCTGTGTTCTTAAATCCACCTAGGCATCTGTATTTCAAAGACGAGATGCCTAGGTAGTTTTTTTTTTTTTTTTTTTTTCTCAGACGGAGTCTCGCTCTGTCACTCAGGCTGGAGTGCAGTGGCACGATCTTGGCTCACTGCAACCTCCGCCTCCCAGGTTCAAGCAGTTCTGCCTCAGCTCCTGAGTAGCTGGGACTACAGGCACATGCCACCACGCCTGGCTAATTTCTTGTATTTTTAGTAGAGACGAGGCTTCACCATATTGGCCAGGCTTGTCTCAGACTCCTGACCTTGTGATCCACCACCTCGGCCTCCCACAGTGCTGGGATTACAGGCATGAGCCACTGCACCTGGCCCATTTTCACCTTAATGTAAATTCATCTTAATGTAAATGGACATGAACTTATAACAGGTGAAAGACATTCCCAAGAAAGGACAATTGACAAACTTCTACCAACATGTATATATATATATATATATATATATATCCGTCTAACTCATCATTTTTGCCAAACTAGAGAAACCTCAGTGCAGGGCACTATGTTGTGAAACTCTGCCGTGAGCAACACCTCCCTTGCTGGGGCTCTTTCAACAATTTTTCTTTCTTTTTTTTTTTTTTTTTTTTT